CTGGGTTTAATGGTGGCACATTGGCACAGCTCTGCTGGGTTTAATGGCGGCACATGGCACAGCATGAAATTTACGCACGAAATTTACTACGCAGTCTCTGGTGCCCCCTCGTGTGGCCCCTAATTTCTTCCCAGGGGGCACCAGAGACCTGGGAGTGAATTTCCTTGCAGTTCTGCATATTGGCCATACGAGGGGGCAGCAGGGACCGCGGAATGAAATTCCAATGTGTGAAAACACAGAAAAGAAATTGGGGGTAAGGGAGACGACGAAGAAAACGAGGAAAACTTCGACAAAGCCAGCAAACCTGCACTCAGTGCTTATGAATATCTGTCAATAAATAAATAATAAATAAATAAGCTGCAGCATCGGAAGTTCCGCATGAATGCGCGTAAGAACTTTTATATGGTGAGGTGACGGAGTGCTGGAACAGGCTGCCCAGGGGGTTTGTGGAATCTCCTTCTCTGGAGATATTCAAGTCTCGCCTGGACTTGAATATCTTAGATATTCAAGTCACGCCTACCTGTGGGACCTGCTGTAGGGAACCTGCTTTGGCAGGGGGATTGGTCTCGATGATCTCTAGAGGTCCCTTCCAACCCCTACAATTCTGTGATTCTGTGATTCTGTGATTCTGTGATTCTGTGATTCTGTAATAAATAATCACTAGAAAATTGATGTTGTCGTGCTTTTTATTCTAGTTTGTTTTCAGCCAGCGTCATCAGAGGTGATGAAAAACTCAGTGTCAATCTGACAGATGTGTGCAGCAAAGCCAAGGATTTGCTTTTGGCACCGAATCCCAAACCCCACAGAAACAGGGAGGTTGCAGTGTGCGTCCTTCCTGCAGCCCCTGCAGTCCTCGAGTCAGAGATCGCTGATGTACTGCAGTGCCCCATTCCTGCTTGGAGCGGCTCGCAGCGTCTCGGAGCTGCTCGCAGTGGCTCGGAGATTCTCAATTGCGTTACAGGTGTGCAGCAGCACTGACACGAGCGTGTGTCGGGAAAGCAATACATATGAGCAAATCCGGGCTCTGTAACGCGCTATATATACGTATATACATGCCGGTTTCTGCCATGCAACACGCATGCGCCAGCTGCAGCACGGTAATACGCATGCACCTTCCTGGACATCGCAATGCGCATGCGTCAGTTTCCTCACCGCAGTGCTCATGCACAATTCTCACTGCAGTGCGCAAGCAGCAAGTCCCCACTGGACTCTTTTTGGTGCGAAATTCACATCTGTTTTTGCATGCTCGTTGTTGGGCACAGATTGGTTACGCGGGGGCACCAGAGAAAAAACTTAGTTGCGGTTTCGCATATTGGCCACACAAGGGGGCACCAGAGACCACAGAATAAATTTCATTGCTGTTCCGCATATTGGCCAGATGACGGCAGCAGAAATGGTGGAATGAATTTACTACACTACACATGATACTACACTTGATCTTAGCCAAAAGGCCGAGAAGCGAGCACGAGACCAAGAAGCCAGCACGGCTTCACCAAAGGAAGGTTATGCCTAACTAATCTTGTGGCCTTCTATGATGGAGTGACGGCATTGGTGGACGAAGGGAAGGCGACTGATGTCATTTACCTGGACCTGAGCAAGGCCTTTGACATGGTCCCCCACCACATCCTCATCTCCAAATTGGAGGGAAGTGGATTTGATGGGTGGACGACCCGATGGATAAGCAATTGGTTGAAAGGCCGCAGACAGAGGGTGGTGGTCAATGGCTCTGTGTGCAGGTGGAGGCCGCTAACAAGTGGTGTCCCCCAAGGGTCTGTCTTGGGACCGGTGCTCTTTAACATCTTTATTAATGACATCGATGAGGGAATTGAGTGCACCCTCAGCAAGTTTGCTGACGACACCAAGCTGAGTGGTGCGGTTGATACGGTGGAAGGAAGGGATGCCATTCAGAGGGACCTCGACAGGCTGGAGGGCTGGGCTCGGGTGAACCTAATGAGGTTCAACACGCAAAGTGCAAGGTTTTGCATTTGGGCCGGAAGAACCCCAGGCACCCGTACAGGCTGGGAGGAGTGGTCCTTGAGAGCAGCTCGGCAGAGAAGGACCTGGGGGTCCTGATGGACGAGAGACTGAACATGAGCCACAGTGCGCTCTGGCAGCACTGCAAAGTGCAAAATGGCAAAAGGGATCAAAAGGCAAATGGGATCCTGGGCTCCATCAGGAGAGGGGTGGCCAGCAGGGACAGGGAGGTGATTGTCCCTCTCTACTTGGCTCTTGTGAGGCCCCATCTGGAGTCCTGTGTCCAGGTGTGGAGCCCTCAGTACAAGAAAGACATTGAGATTTTGGAAAGGGTCCAGAGGAGGGTGACTAAGATGATCAGGGGGCTGGAGCACCTCCCCTATGAGGACAGGCTGAGGGAGTTGGGCTTGTTCAGCCTGGAGAAGAGAAGGCTGCGGGGTGACCTCATTGCAGCCTATCAATACCTGAAGGGAACCTACACCCACGAGGGGAGTAAACTCTTCAAAAGGGCTGACAACAGCAGGACTAGGGGAAATGGATCCAAGTTGAGGGAGTGAAGATTTAGGTTGGATGTTAGGGGGAAGTTCTTTACAAGGAGAGTGGTTAGGCCCTGGAACGGGCTGCCCAGGGAGGTTGTGGATGCTCCGTCCTTGGATGTGTTTAAGGCCAGGTTGGACGGGGTCCTGGGCAACCTGATCTGAATGTGTGTGTTTGGTGGCCCTGCTAGGCAGGGGGGTTGGAACTACATGATCCTTGAGGTCCCTTCCAACCCGGCTGATTCTGTGATTCTGTAAATTTCGTAAATCAATTATAATATTATAATGGCACTGATGACATTTGTAACATCATCATGCCAGCATCCCAACTGCCTGCTTTAGAGCTTTCTTCTTCATTTTGTCTTACACTTTGAAACTGTATTTGCTCATTATAAAACTAAAAACACTCATTATAAAACTAGAAAACACCTCCAGGCCAAAAGTTATCCACTTCCATGGTGCTACAACCCTTCAGTGAGCATATGCATCTGGAGCTTTTAGCGTAGGCTTTTAAAAACAAAGCAAGAGAATTTTACACCCAGAACAAAGGTATGCAATGATGAAAGGCACTCAAGCTCTGCCTGGAGGGTAAAAAGTAGTATAAAAACAGCTAAAGAGAGCGGGGAAGATGAGGGAAGCAACCATTGGAGGGAGGTCAGAAGACCTGATCCTTCTGGGATCAGTCAGCAGGCAGAGCCTCTCTTCCCCCAGCAGAGATACCAGCCAGGAGAGAGGTGCACGCGTGCAGTTATGCTGAGTGCTGCCCTGGGGAAAACTCAGAAATCTCTATAAAGTTGTTCTCTACCTCAGCATGCCTGGGGCCAGGCTGTGCTACTCGTAATTCCTTGCACATGCTTTGCAGACAGTGCACTTGTGGGCAGTGCAGAGGATTGGTGCAGCCATTGCTTTGACAAACTGCAGCATTCACAAATTGAGCTGTGGGAGCTCTGACCCAGCACCACGAGACAAATAACGAGGAGGTGGTGCAGCAGCTTCTGAGTGCTGCTGGACAAATCAGGCCATGCACTCTTTGCAAGTCTGTAATTGTGATTGTTTATTGACTGCAATGAGACTTGGAGTGCCGAGTTGAGTGGCACTTGCAGTGCTGCCCTGTAACCACCAAGGACTCACCTTTGCACATTCAGCAGCAGCTCTCAGAGAAGCCTTCTTCATTTCTGCTATCCTCTCTTTTTGCCTTTTTTTCTTGCTATAAAGCAAGTAAAAAGATAAATTCATTTTGTCAACAGCAAAATTGCAGAAACATGGGTACCACAGAAGCAGATAGCAAAAAAAAGACAAAGGAAATTTGGCCAGGAAGCCTCTCAGGGAATATTTCCAGTGGGGCATACAGAAGACCAGTATGTAGTTAATGGGAAAAGATGTGCTTACACATTCTTGCTTTGAACTTTGTAGCCTTCAACTCTTTTCCGCTCTATAGAGAAGGAAAATGCTAAGCAAACCCTAAGCAAACTCAATGTGATTGATAAGAGTAGCAGCTCACCAGGGCAGGTACCACAGCACCTTCTTTCCTCTTAACTTTGAGGTCCATAACTGCTTACGTGGCGCTGGATCAGGCCCAGGGTGTACCGCTGCAGCTGGCACACCATCTGTGCTCTGCTGCATCCTCTGAGCATTCTCCCCTCTGCACTCTACCTTCACTTGTTTCTTGGCAGGCCACAGCTCTGCTTTTTGTTTCTCTTCTTCCAAGTCCTTGCACTTTCTTCGAGACGGCGTCTTGGAGAAAGAGTGGATGTCAACTGCAGGGAAAGGTCTTTCCCTGAGCTGGGACCTGCTATTCCAGGATGCACTCCAGCCTGGAGAGGAGCTCCCTCAGAACAGACTTCTTTCACTGCTTTCATGTAGATCATAGAATGGCTTGGGTTGAAAGGGACCACAGTGATCATCAAGTTTCAACCCCCCTGCTATGTGCAGGGTCGCCAATTGGATTTTAGATCAATTAGATCTTTTAGATCTTGCCATTTGGCTCAGAACCTCTCTCTGCTATAATCAAGAAAGGAGAAGCAACAAGATTCAAAGAGTTCAAAACTATTTTCAGACTGCAAAATGGGCCACAGTACTAGGAAATCGGTGTGTTCATGGTAACGGATCTTAGGATCTTGGGTGAACTGTGGGTTCACATTTCAAATCAGGACAGGAAAGGTAACTGTAAATCCCAGGGATTAAGACCTGAAGCAAAACACAACAGTCCCAGGGAAGGACAGAAAGCCTATCTTTGATGCTGTGCCACACTCTGTGCTCCTCCCCTGCACTTCACAGGAAGACTGCTTTTGCATCAGCTTCTGACAGAAAGGAAACAAAAAATACTTGAAGAGCATCTCCTCAGAGGAAGATTTTAGCACAGTCAATGACAAACTTCTGGTCTTCAAGAGTAGTTTCTTCAATTTGTTTTTCTGCTGCTAGAGTGTTGTGCCATTTCTGCAGTCAGCACAGAACTCCAGTGCCCTTTCCCCTCTCCTCCATCACACACAGGCCTTCATGCAGCCCTGTTTAGAGGCAGTACCTACACCACAGCTCACAAGAGCTTCTTACCTGGGGAGACTTTCCATTTTCCCCCACACCCTGCACCATCCTGTGAATGCTCAGGCTCCACCCCTGCAACAACAGACTGTGTGCTGATTTCATAGACACCAGGAACAGCATTGTCCTGTTAGCCCATGTCCACCCCCTGAAAAACAAAGGGCACTGTTCTACAGCCAGAACAGAAACTGATGTTTAAACTGCAATGCACTTACAAAAAACATTACCAGTCTTGTTCCCACTCAGATGGCAGGTGAACCTCAATCTGCTTGACAGCTCTAAATTCTGCCGAGCAAAAGTGCATCAGCAAACAAAATGCTATCTCCTGCAAAAGACACATTTTTTGCCTCTCAAAGTCTACATAGTGACACTTGCTTTGTCATTACCCACAGCAACCACCACCAACCAAAACAAAACCATTAACCTCTGTTTGTCATTACTGCCAAACAAACAATGGCCACCACACAGAAATGAGAGATCACAGAATCCTAGAAGGTCTGGGTTGCAAAGGAGCACAATGCTCATCTTGTTCCAACCCCCTGCTATGTGCAGGGTCACCAACCAGCAGCCCAGGCTGCCCAGAGCCACATCCAGCCTGGCCTTGAACGCCTCCAGGGATGGGGCATCCACAGCCTCCTTGGGCAACCTGTTGCAGTGCCTCACAACCCTCTGTGTGAAAAACTTCCTCCTAATGGAAGAAGATGATGGCTGGAGATGATTGCTTAGCCTATTGTTCTCAGAATTCCCATTGAGAACTGCTGTTGGCTGAGTAAGAGCAGAGACTCCCGTTTTCCATCTTAGCCCATATTTCTGCTCCCAAAAACATAACTCCTCTTTGACAGCCGAAACACAAACCAATACGTCACTTCTCACTGCTCCTTCCTGCACCCCAAAAGGAATGGTTACTTGACATCCCCTACAGCACTGCATCTGCTCAGAAGTAACATTCAAAATTTATTCTTTCTTCATGACAGAGAACTGCAGAAACTCCCTTCTGCACGGCAGTAAGGACGGTCCGTCCCCATTGCGTTCCTCTGTGTGCTGAAAGGCGCTGTTGAATCTCCAGCAGCCCGCTGGCTGCTGCTCACAAACACAGGGAGCTGCACCACAGTGCTTCTAAAGAGAGAAAGGAAGAAATGTTGGTGGGAACGGGCAGCCAAGGTTTGCAGAGAGGTTCCAAGCTGTGCCAGAAATGGGATATCAGAGTGCTGAGACATTACTTATCGCTAAAGGAAACATTTGGGAGCACATTCACAACATCTGCAAAAATTATAATTACTGGGCACAGTTAGTTTTCCTATGGCTCAGCTGGAGGAGGCAGCTGCTCTCAGACATCAGCTCAGGGGGTTCAGCTGAGACACCTGCACAGTGCTGGGATAATTCTGACAGAAACAATGTCTTCAGATACCACAGTTAAATCCATCCAGAATTATCATGCAGTCTTTGCTCTTGATCACCACTTCTTCCCCACCTTTCACTACTCCAAGCAGCTAGAACAAACTTCTCATAAGAAATCTAGGGCAGTAGGGACCTGGCAGACCATAACAAAGCACAGCTTGCAGGAGCTTGCCCACTTTTTGCTACCGCCCTGCTCCAGCAGGTAAAGGAGTCTGAGTTGCGCTGTCCTTTTGCAGTTGAGGAGAAAAGATTTTTGACAGCTAATGCCAACATTTCTCACTAAGATACACCTAAGGCATTGAATTCTCTTCCCAGCACCAAACCCAGCTCACCTGTATGTTCTGGTCAGCCTGAGCTGTGCCCAGCTCACACACACGCCGCAGCAGTGCTTCTGACGGTCTCCCACAGGGTGATCTGTTCCAACGAGGCCCAAAGCTCTGCTTCCACATGCAGCATGCTCACCAGAGCACCAGCTCTGCTCACCAGCTGTGGGACAAATGCTCCCCCCCAGCAATGATTGCAAAATTGGTGAGTGCCCACAGCACTTCTGTGCTTTCATCATAAGCAAAGGAAGGGGTCACTTCCTAGATCCAAATTTTAAGAAACCAACGGAATGTTCACCCAATGGGGTGATCTGAAGTAAAATAACAGATAAATTAAGATGACTGCTCTGCATCCAGGTCAGATCACCCTCCTGTACCGTCACCACACAATCAGACCAAGGCGATGTTGCTTCTGGGCTGCCTTCAGCTTGGAGACTGGAAAGCTTTGGGCTGCCAAACACTCAGCAAGCATTTGGATGAGACAGCTTCCTGCTGAGAAGCCATCCAACATCATCATTGCCTCCTCCAGTACCATACCTGCAGATGCTTCAGAGCTGATTAGCATGGACTTTCTTCCTCCCATCAGCATCTGCTCCTGCACTGACCTTCATTCATTCTGGGATACCATCTGCTTCCAGCATAAGCTGACCTGCGAGACAGAGATAGGGAACGTGGGATTAGCACAAATGCAGAAGCCCAAGGCTGTGTCACTACCATGTATTGCAGCCTTGGGAAGTCAGATGCAACTACAACCTTGGTCAGAATTAAAACAGGCACCGTAAATTAACTGTGACCTCTGAAGTTATTGCCACAATCAGAAATAGATCCTGAAATCTCTCACATAACTGTAGGTGGTTACCTCCAAGTTCTTTCGCTTTGGGGAAAATATGGCAACAAGGAGGAAATGCAGAAACTGAGACATGCAGCCTGGTCAATTTGGTGGCCTTCTACAATCGAGTAACAGCATCAGTGGGAAAAGGAAGAGCAACTGACATCACTTGCCAGACTTTTGCAAGACCTTCAGTGTTGTGTGAGTTTCCTGTTAGCACTGAACATGAACAAATCTACCACAGAGCCACACAATGAGCCTTCACTCACCTCAGCAGAGGTTAACCTGCAATCCCATCCTTCTGCCTATCCATGTGCTCACAGTTATGATGGGAGTGAAGGGGAGCAGCGTGAAGCTGTTTGCATTCCCTGCTGTCTGCTGCAGGATTGTGCTAGTGGCAGTGCAGTTAGTTTGCTTTTTCTTGGGAGGGTGGGAAGGAGATTTGGGTTAGAGGCACATCCTGTGCTATAGCATCCTGAAGGCATGCGTGGAATCAGCGGATGTAGGGTCAGGAAGTGGGTGAGGTTGAACGCTGAGCCGCAGGAGGGGCAGGGGAGGTGACCCAGCACGGCTCTGCATGATGCTCTGCAACACTGGGCAGCTTGTTCATGGCTCATCAGTGGGATCAGATGAGAAGGAGAGAAGAAAATCAAGGATGGGAGGGAATCATCAAGCAGTCAGTGGATGTCCATGCAGTCTTGCAGACCCAGAGCTTCCCAAGTTGTTTCTGATTTTGTAGCACTTGGGTGCTGCAGGGTGAGCAAAAGGTTCTGCTGTATGATTCTTCTGCAAGAGCCACTGAGATGCAGACCAAGCAGAACAGCAGGATGCTGGTCAGGGTGAGCTCGTCCTGCCACAGCATGATGATGACAGGTCTGCAGACGATCTGCGCAGGCAGCCGGGAGGTTGGGAGCCAGGAATGGACATGGCACGAGGAGAGAGGTGTTAGGGAGCAGCCAAGGCATCACAGTGCATAAAAAAGCCCTGAAAGGCATCACAAAGCCACCACCAGGAAGCTGGGCTTCATGCACCCCACAGCCTCAGCGTTGCAAGCTGAGGTGCTTTGCTGTGTGTTGCATTCATCCCAGTCCTCGTGAATGAAGACTCCACAGGCAGTCAAGGCGTTGAGGGAGCACAAGCGTGCTTTTATTATTAAAGGAAAAGACAGGAGGGCGTGAGAGGTCCACGTAAAGATGGGAATCGTCCTCTCTTGGGTGGAAAGCTCACGGAGAGAGTGGCTCAGAGCTGTCGGTGTTGATGTCCGGTGCCTGGGACTGGAGGTTGGATTCCAAGTCCCCCTCCAAGAGGCTCTGCTTCTCCTCGCTGGTGCTGATCTGCTCCTGTATGGAGGTGCTGCTGTCAGGGCACTCAGGCTGTGCTTGGGCTGGGCTGCACTGCAGAGGCACCGTGTCACAGTCCAGGCTGGTGCCTGTGGTGTCTGGCAGGCTCAGGTCAGCATCTTCAGCAGAGCTGGGAGCAATAAGGGCTTGAACTTGGATGAGCTCCTTCTTTCCATCACTGTTGTTATGTGGCAGGCTGTCAGCTGAACCGCAGCCATTTGTGCTTCCTAACAGCTCTCCATTGGTGGAAGCACACAGCCCAGCATCGCTACTTGCTCCAGCTCTGCTCGGTTGACAAGAGCTCGAATCACCTATAAAAGAATGAACAGGGGTTGGTGTCAAACTCTCACAAGCTGAATTACAAAAGTGGTTCTTGATCAGGGGAGATCTGAAGGTGCTAGGTATGGACTGGATAGTTAGAAGGAGATACAAGCCCACTGACAGCAAGAATTCTACGTTGCTGAGAAGCAGGGTGTTGAAAGCTGGATTTGCACCCTCACCTGCCAGCACTACAATGTCTGTCTCTGTGGGCTCCCTTGGATGGTGCTGCCGTTGGTCTTTGGCCACAGAGGATGGTTTCCCCAGGCTGAAGCAGGAACACCAACAGCCAGACGGTGACTCCTTCATCCTGCTGGGTGCACTTGGTCTGGAGAGAGGAAACAGGGAATGGTGTGAGTTGTGCGTGGAACTCCAAAAGCATCTCTGACTCTGACACTGACAGCTCATCGGCCCCATCTCACTGCCATGTCTAGTTTCTCGTGCCAGCAGGTCTGACCAACAGCTCTGCTTCCAGGAGAACTGGAATTGGTTTCAGTCAAGTGGCCCTGAAGTCCAGAAAACCCCAACGTTTCCAGGTACAGCCAGCACAGGCCAGGACAGACGTCAGCGTGGCTTCATGCAGCTCGTGACTGCCTGCCCAGCAAGGAGGGAATGCCAGCCTTGTGTGGCTAAACTCAGCCCGGTGGGCAACTGAATGTGAGTTCTGTCTCACATTGCAAAGGGAGTGGAGATTCACTGCAACACTTCAGGCACCATCAGTTTAACTGAGCTTCAGCAAGCTTTGGCACTAGAAATAATGGAAAAAAAGCAAAAAGAAACAACAAAAACCCACCCAAACAATGATGATAGGTGCTGGAAAAGGAACTCCTCTTTACCTTTCAGGTGGAAAGACAATGATAGTGTGGAATTTGCCCAGTAAAGTTGCGGGGCCTTCTTCCACCTCTATGTCCCTGCTCTGTGTCACAATGACAGGAGAGCTGCTGTGGCCTCGCCTCCGTGCCTGCGCCTCCTCCAGGCTGAGCAGCTCTGTGGCAGGAGAAGACGCCCGCACAGACTGGGGCCCTGAGAGAGAACTGTGCCCTGGAAGGGAAAACCACAGGTGAGAGCCAGGATCAGAAAGCGGCAGCACAGCCATCGCAGGTCCGGGGGAGCTGCTGTGTTTTCCTCAGACTTGCTTAACCGAGCCACTGGAAGAAGAGCAGCTCAAAATAACCATGTGCTCAAAGGTGTGTCTATGGCAAAGGACGCAGTCATAATTAGGAGCAGCTCCCTGTATCTAAACAGGCAAACAAAATCCCTAGAAAATGGGGGCAGGGAACTGAGAAAGCTTCGCTGCCACACTTTCACCAAGCTTCACCTGCTTGCAAAACATCATAATGACGGTGACAGATTTCTCCTTCTCACGTTTGGGCTTGCACATTCTCAGCATCCAGCAACTGGACACCAGATTCCAATCTAAGCCCAGAAGTCTGCTGTCGCCTCGATAGTAAAAGTGCATTTCAAAGGACTTGGAGAAGGCCTGCATTTGATCCAGGTGTTTGATCAAGATGAAGCTAATGGAGGAAGACACTCACCTGCTCCATCTGCGATGTCAGGTCCAGATGTGGAGCAGAAGAGGACGTCTGTGTGGTCGATGATGAATTCCACCACAGCCGACTGCGTCTGCAGTTCCATGCAGGCAGCTCTCCCGCTGGCGCAGGCAGACTCGCTCTGCTGTGATCTGTAGAAAAGGCAGCTTTTAGAAGTCATTCAGCCAAGATCGCTTCCCCAGGTCTGAACTGCTGCAGCCCAAAGCTGTCAAACTGGGCTCCGGAGACTTCCGCTGTGGGCAATCAGTGATGCCACTGAAGAAGTTCTCCTGGCTGATCAAGGACACACCAGTCCCATCTAAACAAGAGAGCAGCAATGCTCAGCTAGAAATTGTGCCCGTGGGGTTGGAGAACAGTCCAGGCTCCTGCTCTGCTGTCAGCCACTCACTGCAGATTTTACAGGAGAAGAGCACATGTGGTGCAG